TCCCTCCACTTCCAACAAATCCTACTGTAGCACAAATCAAAGCACGGAAGGAAAAGAAGACAAGAAAATCAAAGGCAAAAGCTTGCCTATTTGCTGCTGTATCTCAAATGATCTTCATGCGAACAATGTCCCTCAAAACAGCAAAAGAAATCTGGGATTACCTCAAGGTTGAATATGAAGGAGATGAGAGGATTCGTGGAATGAAAGTTCTGAATTTGATTAGGGATTATGAGTTACAGAAGATGAAGGAGTCTGAGTCGGTGAAAGAGTACTCTGACAGACTTCTCAGCATCGCCAACAAGGTGAGATTGCTTGGTTCTGTGTTAAATGATTCCAGGATCGTTGAAACGTCGCTGGTTACTGTTTCAGAGAAGTTTGAAGCCACCATTTCTACTCTGGAGAACATCAAAGACCTGTCAAAGATTTCTCTTACAGAGCTCTTGAATGCTTTACAAGCACAAGAGCAAAGGAGGTCTATGAGGCAAGAAGGAGTGATTGAAGGTGCCTTACCTGTTAAGCATCAAGACAATAGCAGGTATAAAAACAAGAAAATTTTTAAAAACCAATCGACGAATGGAGATTCATCTGCCAATTATCAGAAGACAAAAGAAGGAGGTTTCAAAAAATCTTATCCACCTTACCGTCATTGTGAGAGGAAAGGTCATCCACCATACAAGTGTTGGAGAAGACCTGACGCCAAATGCTCCAAATGCAATCAAATTGGACATGAAGTTGTGATCTGCAAAGTCAAAGGACAAGTGAAAGAAGTAGATGCATAGGTAATTGATCAAGAAGAAGAAGATCAATTGTTTGTGGTCACTTGTTTCTCAAGCAAAGAATCAAGCGAGAGCTGGTTGATTGACAGTGGGTGCACAAATCACATGACATATAACAAGGAGTTTTTTGAGGAATTAAGAGACACTGAAGTCAAGAGAGTGAGGATTGGCAATGGTGAACACTTGGAAGTCAAGGGAAAAGGCATAGTAGCTATAACAAGTTATGAAGGTACAAAATTTATTCCAAATGTTTTATTTGTACCTAAAATTGATCAAAATCTCTTAAGTGTTGGTCAGTTACTTGATAAAGGCTATAAAGTGTTGTTTGAGAATAAACAGTGCTTGATCAAAGATGCTAGTGGCAAAGAATTGTTCAATGTCAAAATAAAAGGAAAAAACTTTGCTCTAAATTCGATGGAGAAAGAGCAGATGACCTTTATATCCAGAACTATGCCACTAAGATTTGGCACAAAAGACTTGGGCACTTTCATCATCGAGGTTTGCTTCAGATGTAGTCAAAGAAGTTGGTAGAAGGACTCGCTCACATTGATGATGACATGTCTCCTTGCCGTGCTTGTAATTTTGGGAAGCAACACAGGCAACTCTTTCCTAAACAGGCTTGGAGAGCCTCGAAAAAATTGCAGCTGGTTTATACTGATCTTTGTGGTCCTTAGCGAACACCATCATTAAATGGTAATCTTTATTACACTATTTTTATTGATGTTCTAACAAGAAGGTGTTGGATCTTCTTGCTGAAGCAAAAGTTAGAAGTTGCATGTGTATTTTGGAAATTAAAATCCCGAGTTGAGAATGAAAGTGCATGCTTGATTTAGACTATAAGATAAGAAAATGGCAAGGAGTACACTTCAGAAACTTTTAACAGGTTTTGTGAAGAGGCTGGAATTGAACATCAATTGACAACACATACACTCCTCAACAGAATGACGTCAGTGAAAGGAGAAATAGATTCATAATGGAGATGATGAGATGTATGCTTCATGTGAAGGATCTTCCAAAACATTTTTGGGGAAAAGCAGCAAACACTTTTGTGTGCTTGCAAAATCGAATTTCAACAAAAGTTGTGAAGGACCTCACACCATTTGAAGTTTGGTATGGTTACAAACCGTCTTTAAAGTTCCTTAGAGTATTTGGATATCTTTGCTTCACAAACATTCCACACGTCAAGCATGATAAGCTTGACAAAAAGGCAAAAACTGGCATCTTTGTTGGGTATAGCACTATATCCAAAGCTTACAAAGTTTTTCAACCACACACTAGTCGTGTTATTGTGAGCTAAGATGTTCATTTTCCTGGAAATGAGCAATGAAATTGGGAAGAACTAACGAAGGTGAATCCAATTTCTAATGGACCAAACAATTTAATCTTTAGTAGCATGTTAGAAGAGTTTGAAGATAAACGACTGGAAGAGTCTGAAGATGAACAACAACAAGAGTCTAAAGATAAACAACAAGATGCTTTGGTTGATGATGCACCTGTCAAAGGCGGAGCTTTCAATGATCGAGAAAGACAAAACTTGGGAGTTGGTTAATCGACCTCTAAACAGAAAGATAATTGCAATAAGATGGGTGTTCAGGAAAAGTTTGGAGTTCACAGTATCTAAACAAGGAGGAGTGTTAAAGATCACGTATTTGTTTAGATTGTTGTATCTGATTAAATCTCGTTATAGTTAGGAGTTAGATTTAGTTTTGATTTGATTTAATTTTGATTTGATTTAGTTTTTTATTTATTTTAGTTTTTGATTTGTTTATTTATTTGTTACCATATTTTCTGTAGATTTTTTAAATATATTTGTGTATTCTCTGTATATATATACCATCTTTTTGCTCTTCATAATATAATTTTCTTATCAACCATTAATCACTCACTAACATGAAGATCAGATCAAAGATTGTACTATGCAGCATTCACAGGATGTTAGTAAAAGAACGAGTGATTGAATGGTTGATGAGAAGATTATATTAAGAAGAGTGAGAAGACTCTATATATATATAGAGAATACAAAAAGATGTTTAGAAAATCTACCTAAAATCTGGTAACAAACCAGTAAATCAAATCAAAATAAAAAGTAAATCAACTCCTAACTATAAGGAGATTTGATTATATACCAATTGACAGCCATCTAAACAAACACGTGATCTTTAACACTCCTCCTTGTTTAGATGCTGTGAACTCTAAACTTTTTCTTAAACACCCATCTTACTTCAATTATCTTTCTGTTTAGAGGTTGATCAACCAACTCCTAAGTTTTGTTTTTCTCAATCACTGAAAGCTCCTCCTCTGACAGGTGCATCATCAGTGAAAGCATCTTGTCGTTCATCTTTAGACTCTTATTGTCGTTCATCTTCAGACTCTTCTAACATGCTACCAAAGATTAAATTGTTTGGTGCATTAGAAATCTGATTCACATTTGTCAATTCTTCCCAATTTCATTGCTCATTTCCAGCAAAATGAACATCTCGTCTCACAATAACACGACTAGTGTGTGGTTGAAAAACTCTATAAGTTTTTAATATAGTGCTATACCAAACAAAGATGCCAGCTTCTGCCTTTTTTTCAAGCTTATCATGCTTGACCTATGGAATGTAAGTGAATCAAAGACACTCAAATTCTCTAAGAACCTTTAAAGAAGGTTTGTAACCATACCAAGCTTCAAATTATGTCAGGTCCTTCATAGCTCTTGTTGTAGTTCGATTTTGCAAGCACACAACAGTGCTACTTCTGGAGAAATCACCCGTCGTGGAGGATATCATGCCTTAAGATTATTAATGAATGAGTTGGAATAGGAATAGTTGATTTTCATTAGAGGATGGTGAGTGATAAAGCTCGGTGAGTTTTGGATTTGTTTTATCCTATGCAGTTTATGTCGATTTGTAGATATTTTGAGGTAGATCTGATCTAGGTTGGAGTTGGACCGATACTTGTAGTGATGTTAAGTTAAAGGAAGCCGATACGAAATAAGATGTTTTAATCATGTCACAAAGAGTTTATGGTGGATGACAAGATTGTACCATTCGTGTTTGGATTTAGGGAAATTTCATTCTGGTATTGATGGACATGAGAGTTACAACCTTTCAACTTACCAAATGTTACTCTATGATTTATTTTCAAAGCTATAAATAATTGTTCAGGTGGTTGGTTTACTAGAAGAATTTTGGATATTAAAATTAAAGTATTAAGCATGACCTTTTTCTTTTGCATTTCCTGTGTTTAGATTCGCATGCTTGAGTCATTTAAATGGGGTTGATCAAACCTTTTATGGAGTGATTCAAATCACGAATTCATAAATGAGTTTTTTTTACTCTTGATCTTGATCAACACTTAATCAGCTCCAAAACTTTCCCTTCTGTTGATTTTTAAAATTTTTTTTTTTTGAGTACTTGGATAATTTAGATCCACCGGTCTTCTATCAAAGTTTAGATTTTAGGTTAGAATATAAATTTAGTTGTTGTTTGTTTATCATTTTTCATTCTAAAATTTTCTATTCTTTTCCATCAAATCACATTTTGCTCGATCATTTTAAATAAAAAACATGTCATTTTGTTTTTGTTTTATTTTATTTTATTTATTTTTTATTTTTTTGTCTTCTGTATTTTCATAGATCTCGTCCTATAATAAAACGTTATATTTTATGAGATCTTGAAATTTAGGTTACTTCCATGCTAATAACATCCATTTTGGATAGCTCTTCAAGGAAATTTGGATGAAAGCCACCCATCAATGAAATGCTAGTCTAATTAGAGTTGAATTTGAGGACCAAGGAAGAGAGAGACAAATTGTACAACCCATTCAAAAAGAAGAAACTTGCCTTCTACCACTAGACAACATTTCAAATGATGATATTGTTACGAATGACGAGTAGACCAACAAAGATAGTATACAAGTATATGTTGCTCCCATGTCTATTAAAGACAAAAAGTGAAGAAAGTGAAAAAGAGAGAAATTTTTTTTTGACACATATATAGAGAATAAAGAGAAAGATGGTTCTATTACTAGAGTTTGTGAGAAGAACAATATTTATGTAATACCCGAATTTTTTAGATAAATAAATAAAAATAATAAAATAACAACATAGGGGAAAAGGGTCTTTTTGCCCCTCCTCTTTCCCAAACGGTCTAGTTGTTTGGGCTATAAGAAGAACGAGAAAGAAAAGATAAAAAAAAAGAGAGAGAAAGAGAAAAGAGAGAGGAGAAGATGTTAGGGTTTGGGAGAGAGAAAGAGCATCGAAGACAATCTACGGTTGGAGATCGAATCCAAGGCAAGAAACTTCGGAGCAATACTTCTCTCGGTGCTGGAAAAGGAGTTTGGGTGGCGGATCCACTCATTCCGGCAAGAAAATCCGAGAATGGACAAAATAAGGTTCCAAACTTCTTGTTTCGATTTTATCTAGATCTGAAGAGTTTCTTGAGCGTTAAATCTGGAATTTTTGAGGTATGTAACTAAAATAAGATTCACACAGATTTATTGAAGTCTCTCGACGAAAATCAGAGTTCCAAGAAAATACGATTTTCGGTAAGAACTTGTATTTTTTTCCCAAATTCGAACTCAAATAATAAGACCTGTGATTACCACAAAAAAAAATACAAGAAAAATATATTGTAGAAATAAAATATGAGATCTACAATATCCGTGAAGAGAACTCGTTGATTCGGATTACGGATTGGAAGATATAAAAATCGAAAGAAAATGGATTGAAAACACCAAAACTCACGTTTCTGGAAAAACGCAGGGGAGGAGAGAGGGGGCATTGCCGCCACATGTCGGCCAGCGTACGGAGGAGCGCGGCAGGACCGACGAGCAACACGTGGCGTCTGCGGGCTGGAGAAGCACATTAGGCACGCGCAACTGTGTTGGCCCGAGTCCGAACCACGCGAACCGAACCGATCCGGCCACTAGCCCGCGACTGCGCGGGAAGTTGCGCGTGGACACGCGCGCGTAGTACACTCTCCAGAGCGCGTCAGCGCGCGTGTAGGTGTGTGAGTGACCTTTTTCCCTCCGTTCGACCTCTGTTTGCTTGATTTTCGCCCCGATTTCAACTCTGATCTTATTTTTATGTGAATTAGGACCTATCAAGGAAATTCCATAATTTTTGGAACCTTTTTCAGCAAATAATTCGAGCTTGGGAAGATACGCGTCAACCATGTAAGTAGCCATTTGGATTCCCACGAGCAATACTTGTAGGAACCACTTGGAATAAACATACATGCTATCATACCCATAAACTTATCTAGCTGAACCTAGAATATTAGTATGGAAACCATGAAAATGAAATAAGTAAGGAAACCTATTTCTTCTGGATATGAATGATTATGTAATCTGTTTAGATTGAGATTCTGATAATGTATGTATGCATGAGGAGGATGGAAAACCTATGAAATCTGCGCTCCAGGTGAAGATGGACGTTATCTTCCCATTGAGAATGTTTGTTAATATTGCATGAACTACTACGTGTTAACTCCTATGCATGATGATTCCTTGTGTTATCTTTCTTGATGAATAGGAAAAAATTGTGAGCTTAGATTAGGGTGCTTGTGACTAAGTAGGCTAGATGAGACCCCAGATTGGGGGACCTCTAGAATACCGTGCATTTAGACCCATAAAATGATTACCGGCGGATCCAGAGCCCAGAATTCGAAACCTGATAGGTTTGTGAGACCTTGCACGAGATTCCTATAGATGCATGAATCCAAGTTTAAGCCACCAAGTAGCACCCTAGAAAGAATAGTAGGTCACCATGGTAACTATAGGTAGCCCGCTAGAGTTGAGTAGTGTGGATAGTGTCATCAGAACCTCCACTTCCTTCTCTGCTCTGATATTGTACTGTCGAGATAGAGCTCCGGTACGGAGATCGTTGTGCTTGGCAGATCCGGATAGGGAAGTGTGCAGGTGTCCAGACCTAGTGGTGATAGCTAAGGGGTCTTCTGAACAGGACTCTTGGGCCGTAGAAACCCGTCCCTAAGTGGGGGACGTGGAGCCACGTAGGATGACTTAGTAGCTGACCGACACACAAGGGGTCGCACCCCAAATTTAGTGGATGTATGGTTCCGTGTGAGGGTTGTTAGCTAACCTTCACGGATGATGTTAAGAGAGAGTCACGTATTCAGATCCAGCCATACGATCCCCTCAGATTTACTTATGAGGTTGCGCCTCACCTCAAGACACTGATCATTTCACTGCATAAGATGGGCAAGCCTCTTAAGATACAGAAAAGAGGTTGTAGCTTAGATCACTCTCCTTAGAAACCCGAGAAAGACCATGGATACCTACCAAGATAAGGATGCGAAAAGAACCTACAAGTAGGCTGCTTACTGAGTATTTTTATACTCATTCCTTTCTATTTTTTTTTAGGTGCCAGTCTATACGGAGAGGTGTTCGAGAGCTGCACTGTTACAAAGGGGTGTCGTTCCGAAGCGTCAGTCCCTTGTCGGTCTTTTAGAGTCTTTTGTATTTCATTTTATATTTGTAATTCCTTTTTATAATAATTTGAAACGAATCTTTTCCCTATTTTGTTATAATTAAATGATATTTTTATCTTTTACTTTACCTTTCTTTTCTTTTATTTTCTTTTTGTTTGTTTTCGATTTTGTCTTTTTAGTCACGATTCGATTTTTTGAAGCCTTAAAAATTGGGTCGTGACAATTTTATATACGAAATAAAAAGTACACAAACTTGAAAGTGAAAGGACTTTCTTTCTATCTAGAACAATTTAACTAAGTGTACCAACATTAATATCGAATAATTGCTGTAAATTAAAATGATTATTGAAAAGTAAGATTAGTCATTGAATCCAATACAAGCCAACATGGAACTCATGGAAAAAAACAAAGACCAATGAGCTACACAAAAAGTTTCAGTTCCATTTCACTTTACATCCGTGCATTACCTAAATATAAAAGTGAATACCTCAAGAAGATTAAAACCACGAAATGCAAAGATTTTAAGTTCGCATTACAAGGAGCTCAAATGGATTCGAGAACGAATCTTCTTGAAGGGGAGAATGATATGAAATAAGATATCTTAATCATGTTACAAAGATTTCACGATAGATGACAAGATTGTACCGTACAATTATGTAACAAAGGTTTCATGGTGCAGACCTAAACATGCGTGCCAACAGGTGTCCTCTCTAACCGATAGATGCTACACCCCTCTTGCTGGCCGCCATGTGTTTGTTGTCGATTACTTACATTTTGTTTATTTTCCAAATTCTGGTCATTTTTGCATTTTCAAATCATTTATTTTGATTTTTTCTCACTTCCAATCCATAACTCAAATCAACTCGGTTTCTTCACGAGATTTAAGATTTCTATTCCACCTATCCTAAAGTAATTTTCTTAAAAAATTTTGACACTCACGGACCTTAATAAGTGAGTTTGAATTTCAAAAAAAGTTTAGTTCTTACTCAAGTTGGACATTTCACGGTTTCAACACGATTTTTAGCCGAGTTTCAACACGAAACTTGCATGAATCCTCCCTTAGAGTAATTTTGTTGAATATTAAAACTTAAATCAACAAAAAAATCTTCCGATCTAGGATGAAAAAGTAAACACGTTGCAAAGGTGTTAATATGAGCCCACAGTTCAATTATAAAACAAGCTTCACTATCAATTTTATTAAATCAACTTAAGCCAATCTTTGTACTAAAAAAATCAAATTGTTTGCCTGTGCATTCTAGCATAATGATACAAAGAACAAACAATTAAAATAAAAACAAATGACTATTCGTAAAAAAAAAAAAAAACCCAAATTGTTCTACTTTTCCCTTTATACTTGGAAAAACTTCAGCAATGTCCCACACTTGAACTTTTTCTACATAGACTCTTAAAAAAGAGAACAATGAAGCAGTGAGGCTTGCACCTTGCAAACACAAAGTGAACGAGAATCTTGGACACCATACAAACGGGTTGGAAAAAAAATAACGAAATTAAAAATAACAAGAAAAAAAAAAGACCCAATAAAATTCCTAGATGCTTATGATCCCTCCAAAGCTTTTTGGTGTTTATCTAAGCAGATGTAATTGAAGAACTATTTTTTAGTAGAAGTATCGGAGCACAATCATTCTTGCTCGATACTAGAAATATGTTGCCACTAACTCTGAAAAAGAATCTTGAATTCAAAATAGAAAAAAAGTTTGAATACATAGATTTATTGGCAAATAAGAAGAAGATGACGAATTACCATAAAAATTATTATAATATTATACACAAATGAAAAGCTAAAAAGGAATATGCCCTGTCCATGATATACTAACAAGTTCAGATTCAACCGAACCATTCCAAAAAGAAAAGAATCACTACGAAGATCATCATTAAATCATAGACATATCAAAATACAAAAAATAAGCATCACTACACAACAAGGAAACTACCAATCCATTCACATCAAAGAATAGGAAGAAAAAGATTCGACATGAAAATCATCACTACATTGAAAAAAAGAGAGGAAAAGAGTTAAAACCCAACAGAAAAATTAATAAATTTGGATTGAACAGTGGCTACAACTGAACGGAAACGATAAATCATGCGAAGAGAAGAGCGGAAATTCGGCAATATAACAAGAAACATTGAGGGAAATAATACAAACTGAAGGGGATTCCAACGGAGAAGTGACAAAAATTGTAGTGGATGAGACGGTGGTTAACATGGAAGTAAGTCGAGCAGTTTTAGGCGAATCCATAATGAAGAAAGTTAAGTTTTGTATTTAACCTAACAACAATTCTCTCATTTTCAATTGAAACTAATTATAAGATATTAGTGTTATATAGAAAAATTGATTGAATTGTCGTGTTCAATAAAAAAAGGTCAACACTGACATATTAACGAAGGATAGTTTGTGAGAACTATTCCATATTCTTCACGGGAGACCAAACAACACTAATTTTTGGAAAACAAAGTTCTTCTCTTCATGACTGTCATGTACCGCTCCTAGTTGAAAAGATTGTTGTAACATGAAGTGGAGAAATATAGAAGGAAAAAGGTAAGCTGAGGAGGGTTATTTTATAAAATGGTACAGTGGAGAGCTAATTATATAATAAATTTCTTGTAGTGGGATCTCCAAAAAGAATTTCTTAATCTCTTATAAATTAAAACGATATTATCTTCTATGATACTTGAAAATAACTTTATTATTTATAAAGTGCCATAAACAAAGCAATTGTCACGGTTTTATAATATCTAATACAACCAAGTCTTGAAGTAAAATAATAACATAAATGAATTTATTTTTCAAAAGTTCTCCATATATAACACCATTGATCCCCAAGTGGTTTATCAATCAGCTAAAAGTTATAACATAATTTCTATCAAATCTTAACATGATCTTTTGGTGGGGATTAAATTAATATTGTTAAATATAATAACTTTTTAAAAGCACTACAAAAGTTGAGAGATAAAGTTCTTTATTATATAGAATTAAATCGTTATGCTAAATTAAAAATGAACTAAAATAGTAATGTAATGAAAGTATTGAGATCAATTTTATTAAAGAAGAAGGAAAAAAAAAATGACAATGGCATAATAGTAATAATAGAAAAAAAATGAGGGGAAAAGAAATAAATAAGACTTTCTCAAAAAAATAATATGTAACGACGGAGATTTCTATTAACCTAAATTCAAGGACTTAGGTGTTTAAAAGCAACTTTAAAATAACATATAGAATTAATAAATAAGACAATTAAAACAGCAAAGTAAAAAAACACCATATACTAAGTTAAGACTAAAAAAATAAAATACTAGTACACTGTACATGTGTCATGGTCTTTGTTTGTGACGTCATCGTTAGCCATACATGGGTGTCTTGCCTTTATTTGAAATAGGAGTAGCAAACACGTGTCACTCATGGTCCAAGGACCTATCGTTAAAACATCATAAGCGTGGCCTCTAGTCCAGACAAATTTGGATATGTAGTACTTTTCCACACAATCTCTAAGGTGGTTCACATTACTAAACCCATCATAGTCGAGCTAATTGTCCATAGCAACGCTGGAGGTCAGCAGACCTCTGAGTGTCATGTGAGGCATGATGATGATCATCATTGTAGTATACTCATCCGTACTCATCATTATAAATAGGGAAGTAACCCAATGTATATGTGTTGAACACTGTCATAAGCCCTATTCTCTAGGATCAAGACCTATTCTCAAGGTCTTTTTAGGCTTGTTAGTTTATCTTTAGGTTTAGCAGAGGGCTATATAATGCCATTCTTTCTGCTGTTGAAATCATCAAGTTTTGAATGTCATATTGTATGTTTTGAGTAACTTTGGTGTTGTGAGTACATTTGTTCCGCTTTCGGCGCTCAACAAGTGGTATCAGAGCCTTATTGTGGTATTTGGGGGTATTGTGAAAGTTTGGGCCTCATCGACCATTAGACGTGCTCACAATCGTGTTTATTCTCTTGAAAATCAATTTTCAAGAATTGTGTTTTTGAGTTACATCCAGATTAATTATTGCAAATGGCAGAACCATCACTGTAACGACCCTAAATTTCCACATATCTAGAGTCGCCACTAACGTCTCATGCTCATCTCTAATGCAGAATAAAAACCTAAGCATGCTCATCTTTATTAGCGGAAAAATTTAAAACTTCAGAATACATTAAAACATTGGAAAACACTGCCGGACTTATGTGTTTCAAACATCGTGCTGGAGTTCAAAAAGATAAAATAAAACGATTACAAATTAATTAATATAAATAAATGAAATGCAAATGCCCTATCCTAACCAAGACTAGGAATTAAATATGCAACTATCCTATACACGCGCCACAGTCTCTGATCACGATGCCACCGACAACCGTACATGGGAGCCTTGCCTTTACCTGAAAAATAATATGGCACACGGCCTGAAATACTCAGTAAGTGACCCCACTATAGGGGCCATGCTAATGTAAACACATGCAATCATGAATAGGGACCTATCTCTAATCATCTTAGGGGTGGCCTCCAGTCTCGGACAAATTGGATGTGTAGTACTTCCCTACACAAGACTCACACGTGCGAGTGTGAGTCCCCAGGGCGCTCGCACATCCCCTGGACCCTCTGGTCAAGCTAATCTGTAGCGACGTCTGGAGGTCAGCGGAACCCCATAGTGTCATGCGCCTCATGAACACCCTCATCTGTGTGCTTTCGCACCTGTGCGCATTCGCGCTCATCATAAGGTGCGCGTCCGCACTCATCATCTCTAGGGGAAGTAGCCCTATGCTTATGAACATACAAAATGCATGAGATCCCTCTAAATCCATCGTAATGTCTCTTCTGACACAACCCTCTAGTCTCATCTCTTTGTTACTCTAGGTAACGCATACTCGTGAATATTTATATTAATATCATTTTCATGCTCTTAGGGTTGTGTCCTACGTCGATCTAACGATATGATGCAATGTGGCACTCATCATCATCTAGCATGCTCAATATGGAACACATCATCATATTAAGGTAAAAATCATGCAATCATCATGCTCATCATAATGCCACAACGTGCGTCAAACATATCAAG